TGGCAATATTGAGGAAAAATGAAGAGGATTACAGTGATGCCTTCCTGGGCAACAGCTAGTGATTTATGGATATTCTGAACTGACAGTTGAACACAAGCCTTTTATTTTCAACAGCCCCAGATGAATCCTTGTTCTATGTATTAAACTAATTGGGTTTTAATCCATTCCTGTTTTTAGAATAAAAGTATTTAATTATATTATTTCTTCATACATCCTAGAATTTAGTTGTTATCACAGTGAAAAGCAGTTCCATTTATAAACAGGAAAAACGTCCCAATCATTGAAAAAACTTCTGTATTATAAGTTTACCCAGCACCTGCAATTTGTGGTAGAAGAATAACTAAACTTACCATGTTCACTTCCTAATGTTTACTTACTAAAGCCATTTATGATTTTATAGACAATTATGTCATTTCATGCATCTCCAAATCAGTTCTTTTTCCAGAAGAAGACTCATATCTTATTCATGTCTACATTCAGAAGCTGTTCCACAGCTGTGATCTTGTCACACTTTGCTTCATTTTTTTAGCTCTTCCATGTCTTTTTGGAGATGAGAGATAATGAATACCATACAGTATTTGAGTTATCTGTACAGATGGATTTATCCAATAATGTAAGGTCATTTTGTTTTTATTCCTTAAATTAATATTTTCATTGAAATATCAATAATAACTCTTTCAGGGCTGATAATAGCTAGTGCAGAGCTTACCATATTTTCCCCCGTCTATTAATGTCCATTCCTTTGATTTCATCTGCCATTTTATTGCCTAGACACACCATATTTTTCTTCCACTCTTTGTAGTCTATCCTTACTTTAATTTTCCTAAATAATTTTTATCATCAATAAATGGGCATATTTTTATCCTCTTTTCTAAGTTATTTATTTAAGTCTCCTGAACCAAACAGGATTCCCCAGACATTGCTGTGGTTTTCCAGTGTTATTCTCCATTTTCCTTTTTGACCTCAAGAGAGGTCACTCCCTCGTATGTTATGATAGCTTGCTTCCTTTAATGGCCTTCGCAGAATGTTGGAAAAATCTGTTTGGTAATCTAAATATGTTGAACTCAGTGAACCGATTATATGCTTGCCAATGTCTACAGAGAACTTTAGTATAGATAAGGGATGATTTGTGAGGCATCTGTAAAAGAACACAGATCCCAAGCATCCACTATTTCTGTTTGTAAGATGGATGTTTAGTTGTGCTTTGATCCAGGACTCATTAAAAAAAAAAAAGGAGAATAAAGTGCACCTTGGCACCACATCCTACTTAACCAGAACAGTGGCAGTGTAAAATTGAGTATATTGGAGTTTGTAGGCAAGAAAATTGTGCTGATTTTCTGCTTTTTGTTTTTATCGTTTTTTTTCTAAAACTGTTTCTGTTGACAATATGTGCTAAACTTATAATCACTAATTCTCTAGTGAGCTGAGCAGCATGCTTGATTACCTGTGCATGGCATGCCACTTTAAATAATTTGATTAATTTCTGTGTTATTTGCCTTTCATACTTTAATCACCTGTCAACACTGAACAAACTTTCTGTGGGTTTCCATGCACTTAAAGCTTCATAGATTATGTTCCATGTGTAAAAAACAAAGTGGAAAGCAGAAAGCTGACCATACCCATTTCATAGATGAGAATCTGAGACTGCAGTAGAAGTCCCTTGAAAACAAGAAATTGGACCAAAGCTGCTAAAACCACTGCCTAATTACAAGTCAATCTTTTCTACCTGTTTCTTCCATGTAATTGCTAGAATTTAGGTATTTTTTTGCAGGCAGAAAAGAGTGCTAATTTCTTTTTTTGCCAGTGACATGAAGGAGGAAAAAAATTGATATTGCTGGCAGTTGAAGTGAATAGTGTTTCCCTCCTTGCGCTTGAGCTACACAAAATAGAGATAATGTGTTTATGACTCAGAGGCATTTTATCCAGTCTTTGCAAAGGAGCAAATGATTACAAAAGGCATTTGGCAATAAAGAAAGAAGAACTCCATGTAATTTTAGCAGATCCCATTTTTGGAAGTATTTGATAGGAGGATGCCCATAGAATTCAAGGTGGGATTGATAACAACAAACTTTATAATTTAGTGAGAAATTGGATTTAAGAGGCACAAAACTAGTACATCAGATTTTAGATATTTCTTATGTATGGTTATAGTAATGAAAAATAAGGCAAAATTCTCTGAAAAAATTAACAGTGCTGTCTAGAGCGCTCTTGCCTTTTTCCTGGGGATTTATAATTGGATAGATGTGAATCTTAGAAAGTCTAAATTGGATATATTAGCTTCATGAACCTTCATGTTTTTATTTCATATTCAAAAAGCCTACCTAAAAGATTCAAGACAATGGTTTCATCTTCTGTATTACTAGAATCTCATGCATATGTTGTGAAAACGTATCTATATTAATTGTTAGAAATCAATTTGAATAGTATTGCTTCCTCCATCAGGGGTGCACTTAAAATGGTGTGTTAAACAAAGCCTTATTTTGGGTTTTACAAACCAGTATTATAGAATCAGAGAATATCTCAAGTTGGAAGAGACTTGTAATGTCCACTGAGTCCAACCCTCTGCTCCTTTTCAAAGAAGGTTCAAATATGTCATTGTTAATTGTACTTTTAAACTTACTAAAATCCCAGAGCTGGGGAATGAATCAATTCCAAATGTGAAGTGCTGGGTGCAATGTGGGTGCATTTTGTGCATCTTTTGCTATGTACTTGCCACTGAGCCTGCAGGGAATTCAGTGTGATGCACTTCTCTCTGAGGTACTGACATCCTGACATGGGCTTTTCGGTGAAATACCCAATACTTGTTTTGTTGCCTGTGTTTGTACTGATTATGGGCAAGGCTGTTTTGATAGTTTTGCCCTAAGCTGCTCTGTTCATGAAAGAGGTGACATGAGGGTGAAGTTACGTTCTAATTGACAAGTTCCTTAAGAACTCTTCATTTACTTACATGTCTTATATTTAAAGTTTGAGTTTAAACTTAGAACAATGGTATGATTTGTAATAAACATAGAACAGGTAATATTTGTATAGCTGTGTGAATCTGAAGGCTTTTTGGCTGCTCTCATTCAGATGTTCCACTGGTTTTTTTGATGCCATGTGTTGCAATTCCTTGCATGTATGATCATTCTGTCCTTTTTATGAGGTTCACTTTTGAGGACTTAAAATACTTAACTCCAAACCAAATGCCAGACTCTGTGTTAACACTAAATGCTTACTAGCTTTTACACTGTTAATTTTGAACAGCCTAAAAAGAGAATGATGAGGCTGTAAGTCAACATAGGAAGTTCCACAGCTATTAATTCATCTACTCTGCTAATGCTTACACAGGCTTTTACCATGTGCCCCCATTATAGAAGGCAGCAAGTGTCACTGAATGCAGTGAATAAAAATATAAGAACAACTATAAAGATTTTAAAATGTGATGAAAATGAGCTGCAATCTGTACAGAAGAAGCAAGTTACATAATCAATAAAATCTCAAGTATTGATTGACCATACAAATTGGTTGGGTTAGTAACTAATTGGTTCCCTTGCTTGAGCAGTATATTTACACATGGTTTTAAAGTGAGCGTGAGAGTCACTAGCTCACAATGTCAGAGGACAGCTGTACCATGGCCAGCCAAGCTTTGTAATTAAATGTCATACAGGTTAATTGCAGAGACAAGCAGGAGACTGGAGTTAAAGGGCTGAGTCAGTTGAAGAGTGTTGTTCATCTTCAGAGGATGAAAAGGAATGACATTATAAAGGGAGCTGTATCAGAGTACAATAATGTCCAATTCAGTTTTGATTAAAACCTTGTTTTAAAGTTATAATTGTAAAATAGGGTTAGAAGCTGAATGAATTGCAGAAGAGTGGGTTTGGGGCCAGTGGAAATTGTCATAAAATAAATCTGAAGTTGATCCCAATACATCCATATGTCAGCCTCTTTTTCTTTTTTTCCCTTTTTTTGTTTGTTTTTTTTTTTTTGTTTTTGTTTTTGTTTTGTTGGGTTTTTTGGCTTGTTTGGTTTTGTTGGTTTGTGGTTTTTTTGGTTTTTTTTTTTGTTTAAAGTGCAGCTATGGCAAATTATGCATTTGAAAATGCAAAACTGGTTGATTTAATCTGAGGTGCTAATGTATACACTCAACATATCATATCAGTTTGTCTCCGTGGATCAATTTTATCACAGTTCAAAGGTTTTGATCAGTACTTAGTGGGAAGGAGAGGAACCCACCTTAATGAATGTTCTTCATATGCTTTATAATCTTTATAGCTTACTGCTACATAGAACTCAGCTCAGCAGAGCACTCAGACATGTGCTTAAGTGCTGTGCTGAATGAGAATTATAATACATCACTCAGCGTGTGCACCTGGAAAAATAACAACAGTGCTACTATAAAAGATATGATGTCGTATATATTATTCTGTTCTTGAGAAAAGGGAAACATGGCATATGCTATTCATGTTGCTGCATGAATTACCCAGCTGCTTGGATGAAAAAGGTGTCTATGAGGTTCTAAGCAGAGCAGTAATACAGTGTCATACAAGTGATGCAGTCTGTGAAGGAAAAGCTTTTCCAAGGAGACATAAGGAGCAAAGAAGAATGATAAAGAGTTTTCATAGGCACTTTGTGTACAATGTTGCAATGTCCAGTTGGGTAGGAACACAAGGTTTATTATGAAAAATAAAATTTAATGATGCTTTGTATGTTTCCATACTTTACTTTCTCCTTCGGCATCCTGCTGTTTTTCAAGATATAACCAGAAGGTACCAATTTCAATGTTAGAAGAATGAGGAGAAAACCATCACTATAATGGTTTTGTTCTGGTGTCTATATTCTGGATTCACAACCAGAGTTGTTTGTGCTTTTCTGTGCTTCATTACTTCCACAGTTGTTGAAAATTAAGCCTTTTGCTTTAATGCCATAACAGGTGTTAGGCTTATTCATGATTTTTCTGTTAAATTCACCTTAGTATTGCCTCTGTTGCTTTTGTTTATGATTTTATTTTATTTTGTTTGCAGGGCTGTTTCCTGCAGTGCTGAACCTGGCTAGTAATGCTCTCATCACAACCAATGCTACCTGTGGAGAAAAGGGACGGGAAATGTACTGCAAACTCGTTGAACATGTACCTGGACAGCCTGCAAGGAATCCTCAGTGCCGTATTTGTGATTTAAGAAGCAAGGTTCCACATCGTATGTCTTCCATTTTCATTTTGTTCCTTTAAAAAGGTTTTACTTTTGAAGGCTGTAGATAATCAGGAAACAAAACTGTAGGTCACCAGCCCAATTACTGTGAAATGTGTGTCTCTTTCTTTTCAAATTAGGTTACCCATCTTTCCATTGGTAATTTAGAATCTATATCTGCTATGGATACTCCTCACATTGAACTTCCTAACTCAGATATTGAAAAACAGAGCACCTATATTCAGATTTAGAAAAATAAAGTATCTACAGCTGTTGTTGAATTCTCTTGATATATACTAAAAATGAATGAAAACCAGATGACTTTTACCTGCATACCTACCTGTGGAATTTGAACATTTTGGCCAATCTAAACAACATCTTCAATTTCAGTTAGTTCAGTTTCACTGAGCCAGCAAAAATAAGATAAAGTAATGGAGCACTGTTTGGTTTAATCCTTAGTTTTTCGTATTAAAATTCTTCTTTGCTAACACTGCTTTTTTTGAAGACTATGAGGAAGAAAAATTGGTTTTCAAGTATGAATTTGTTATCATTTGGTTCATTTGATTTGTATATTTCTAATAGTTGGGGACAAAGAAAATTTCTTAGTTGAGTCATACAAGTTTAATTTCATGTGACCTTGCAGTGAAAGACATTAATAACTTCCACATTGTTATATTTTTGTGAGTATGTTGGCACTGTAGATGGTAGAGGATGCAGAGATACTTAAGACAGCCTTTAGTGGAATAGATAAAATGTTGGAAGAAGCACAGCCACAAAAGCATGGAGACAATTTTTTTTCCCCAGTTGTTTTCCTCTAAAACACAGCTCAGATATATTTACACCTCATGACATTTAAGCATGTGCTTAAAACCACATGGGGGAAAAAAAAAGATGACATTTAATCTGTCTGCTAGTTCTAGACAGGATGAGCTGTCTATGGCTGTATCTTTCCAGACAAGCTTGTTTAGCTTCTCCTTTGAAATTTCCTTCCAGGGCAACTCTTACTATGGTTATTTTACTCACTACAAAGTCTTTTCCTAATAGCTAATCTGCATCTTCCCTGCAGAAATTCATGCTACCTATTTCCTAAATTCAGTCAGTACAAGATTGGATTATTCCCTTTTTCTTAATAAAATTATTTTACTTAATCGAGGGTTGATGGTATTGCTCTATCAAGTTTCTACACTAAGCTATCTCTTTTCTTTCATTCTCCACATAGGCTGTATTTTCTAGAACTATAACTGTGCAAATTGCAGTTCTCTGAATTCTCTCTAGAGGCTTTCATCTGTATTAAAATTCACCTGAGCTCTTACCAGCACTGCAGAGAGATCCAGTTTTGCTTCGGAATGAGCAGCATATATTCCTGTTTACATGTTTTACTTAGATGTTTCCCCTTTCTAATGGTGAGACACCATTGAGAGTAGAGGTGTAGAACTAGTTGTTCATTACAATCCTCAGATGCTTTCTTTCCTGCTAAATTGCTACCTATCCATTTGCTCCTCATGTTATATTTGTGAAGCTAGTTATAATTGTCCCAGTATAGACTATGTCATTTGTCTGAAGACAGTTGCAGCATTGGGGTTTTTTTTTGCCAAGATAGTTTTCCAAGTTTCAACGTATTCTTTAACTGCAGTAAATGCCACCTTCTGAGGAAAGGTCATATGATTTTGTAGCAATATACACATTCAAATGTGTTATACTATAGTAATGTGTCTCAGAGAAGAATTCATGAGTTTTTGGAAGCATTCTGACTGGTAGAAAGACTGTGCAATAGATTGTTTCTTTTTATAGATGGTATTTAGAGACACATGCATATTGCACAAGTTTTTTTCCTGTATTATTTGCTTAATTCAAAACCCAAACCTAAAGGAGAGATACTGCATTGCCCTGCCTATGACATCAGACAGTGCATACTAATGTATGTGTATATACACAGACATATGTATGTATGTATAAAAACCCCATCTGAGCGATTTCTATCTGTATTTCTCCCTGTTCCTACCCTCTTCTAAACTCGAATCTGGCCAGCTTCATAATGTCTGGCCTTCTGTTGCCAATCAGATCTCATTTTAAGGTTTCAAAATGTTCATTTGGAAAAAGGAAGTGCCTTATTCAAATAGATACGGGTTGTTAATAGGAGAACCATGTAATATAACCAGACTTTAAATGATCCCCCTGGAATGTGTGAGTCTCGAGTGCCTCCCCTTAATTACTGTAGTAGGAAATGAACACAAATTCCCTGGTTAATCACATGTGATCCCAAATTAAAGAGGACAGTTTGATGGGTTCACTGTGTAAGTTGCCATCCATCAGGGAGATTGGCCTTTGAACTGCATTTACAGTCCAGTCCTTTTTTATTGTATTTCTTCCCTTACCTTTTAAATAAGCAAAAAGTGCCAGTAATTAATCAGTGTTTTCAAATTAATTATGTTTAAACTTTCAAAATTGTGATTACAGTTAATTGTTGATTCATCTTCCAACCCTCCTCATTATTTACCTTTATATCAATTTCGTCTGAAGAGACTTACATCAAAATTTCCAATTAAACAGCTTCTGTCACAGTCATGGAAGAGCTCTGAGTTTGATTTACAGCTGATTTTTGTTACCACACGATTAAAGCCAAGGTTTGTGAACATGATCAGAGCTGTGGGAACTGGCAACGTGTAAGGAATGGGTGTGTCTTGCTTTTCACTTCAATATAAAGATAAAGCTCCTAATAACCCCAGTTCTAGCACCAGTATTCTAACCTGAAAATGTTGCTGCCCACTAATGCCATTGACTAGTCTAATTGTTAAATGAATTTTTTTGGCATTTTCAGTTTTGAGGATTCATGCCTTCTCTCACTCCCACAAAGAACTTTAATTGTATCTTTAAATATGTTCAGACATTCTGGCTTTCCTTAATGAGCTAGGACTCCTGTCCTCCACAGGTGGTTGATGTAGCAAAAAACCAGATACACAAAGACTATCAATCTGGCAGGCTGATTTAAGTAATAATTAAAATAACAAGTAAATTGATCAGTTTATGAATTAATTATTGGCAATTCTAGGACTAACTAGTAATGAAACATATTCCAGTTTCATATTAAGGAAACCTGTCAGTTTAGAAAGTCATCCTAAGTAAGAGGGATAAGGGTTTCTTCCAATTTATTGCATTCTTGCAGACAGAACCTCCATAGAAGAAACTTGGAGGTTCCTTTGGGTTATTTTCACCATAATGTACAGGCTTGCTTTAAACAATTAAGGACTTCAAAATATAGATACTTGTACCTTTAAAAATTGTGGTCATGTTATTCTCTGTTTTGTACAGAAGAGAAACAACTGAGCACAAAATGTAACCTAGAAATGTTGAGTGTGATTTTTGTTAGTCTAAATAAGAGTAAAATACTGTGTAAGCGAACTTCAATAATTTAGAAGATCTTGAAATTTAGGAACAATTCCATTCTGCAAATAAATTCATATCCCTCTTATTTGAGATTCATTTGGGGCACTGCAGCAGACATGAAAAGTAACTCATCTTGGACTTTGATATGGATTATAACCAAACAAACCTTCTTTATATGCATGTATATGAGTCAGACAATTTTTCCAATAGGGGAATATATTCTGTAATGATTTCTGAATCATTTCCTCTGTAATAATTTCTGAGTTATTTCCTGAATAATTTCCATGTGTGCTTAGAAATGTCTTAGAAATGCAAGTACCAGTGTTACTTTAATTCTTGCTTTCCTTGCACACTGTAACTCAGGTTTCTGATCTGCTTTTTCTGTTGCAACATTTTATGAATTTACAGTACTTGAAACTTTGGAAGACTGCAAGAAGTGTTGGTTAGTGGAAGTGACTTGATTTAGATGCCTACATTTTCCTAGAACCAGGAGAGCCTTTTGCATTCTGATTCACCTTCTTGTCATCTGAACCAAAATTAAACAACTAACATTAGATGAGTATTCCAGTAATAATAACCATGACTGGTACCCCAAGAGTACAAGAAAAATGAATGTATTTTTTATTTTAAAGTCCTACCTCATTAGTTCTGTAATTGCATTAAAGTCTAGATTTCAGATCTAAAAATATTTTAATCTCATAGTAATTTTTAAATGTATTTATATGTTTCTGCTGTTCTAACAGAACGACATCCAATAACAAATGCAATTGATGGCAAGAACACTTGGTGGCAAAGCCCTAGTATCCAGAATGGAATTGAATATCATTATGTGACCATTACCTTGGACCTCCAACAGGTAGAATTCTGTTTGTTTCTTTCTTGCACAGTAGATCACCTCAATGATCTTAATTTTTCCTCTGTATTGCTTTCATATTATACACACAGCTTCTTCTATAACTTTGTTGTTTACATGGATAATTCCAACTGACCCATTCATTGTAACACAATGTACCAAATTAAAAAATAGTTATTTCATATATATTTTTGCAAAGTCATGCTTAAAATGATTTAAACTGTAACATTTTCAGTATAATTTATTCACAGTAACTTCTGGTTTGGTTCTTTAAAGCTAATTTAAAGATAGTTTTGGGAAAAAAGATATTATGACTAAAAGTTTATATTCAAAATACTTTTTTTCTTGTTTCAGTAACATGGTACTATACATTTAAATATACACAAAGTATTTAAAATACTTAAATATGCTAAAAATGATTCAGCTGTGCTAGGGAAACCTTTGCAGGTGACGGGTTGTATTGAGGGGCAGCATGGGTAAAGAGAGGAGTTTGCCTAACGAGGTACTTAAATAAATTGCCTTTTGTTAGTGGAGTCTTGCTTGACTGGAGTAGCTATGGAGGATGCAGTTATCTGATGCTCATGGAAATACTGCATAAATTTCAAGTATGGAGGCAAAAGGATTTGAGGGTAGGTGGAAAATAGTTTGTCTTTACTATGGCAAGATAAATACAGAACAATTATCTACTGCCAAATTTATTCATCATGTTGTTAGACTTGGAAGTTTTGGTATGTAGTTTAGTAACAAATTGAAGTCTTTCTGCTAAAATCTTCTCTAATTTGTGGTTGGCTGATGTTTGTCTGCAACTTGAATCAGAACAAAAACATAGAATTATTTCAATGGGAAAAGATCTTTAAGGTAGAGTTTAGCCATTAATCTAGCACTAAACCAGGTCCTCCAGTGCCACAGCTAGTCTTTTAAATACTTCTAGGGATGGTGACTCCACCACTTCTCTGGGCAGCCAGTTCCAATGCTTGGGAACCCTTTGTGTGAAGAAATGTTTCCTACTGTTGAATCTAAATCTCCCCCGGCACAACTTGAGGCTTGTCCTATTGTTTGTTTCTTGGGAGAAGAGGCTGATCCCTACCTTGCTACAACTTCTGTTCAGGTAGTTGTAGAAAGTGAGTGTCTCCCTCTTCTGCCAGGTGGTTTTCTGCCCACTCTTCCCCAAGGCTGTAGTGTTGTAAGGGGTGGTTTTGACCCAAGTGTGGGACCCATGCACTGGCCTTGTTGAACCTCATACTGTTGGCCTCAGCCTATCGATCCAGTCTGTCCAGGTTCCTCAGTAGGACCTTCCTGCCCTCCAGCAGATCAACATTCCCACACAGCCTGGTGTTGTCTGTAAACTGAGGGTGCACTCGATCCCCTTGTCCAGATATTTGATCAAAATACTGAATAGGACTGGCCCCAATACTGAGCCTTGAGGAACACCACTCATGACTGGCCAACAGCTGGATCTAATTCCATTCACAGTCACTCTCTGGGCCTGGCCAGCCAGTTTTTTGCCCAGCAAAGGATGCACCTGTCCAAGCCAGTTTCTCCAGGAGAATGCTATGGAATACAGTGTCATAATCTGTTTCTCATGTATTAAAAAATAAAAGGGAAAGGGGCACTTCCTCTGGCTCACTGAAGAGAAATTCCCCTTCCAAGCTTCCCCTCCCTCTGTGATCTCTTCACTGAAGTCAGTTTTCTATTTTGATTTATTATTATTGGTTTATCAGTTTGACTTGGAACCTGCCTCTCCTTATCTCACTTCTTTCTCATTTAACTATGAGAAATTGTTTTCCTCAAGGAGGACAATAGTTATTTATCAACTATAGAGGCTTGAATAAAGCATAGTTTGTCAAGAAATTTTTTAAAAGTATGAAATGAAAGACAGGACGTTGAGATATCTGTGTGTATCCATAATCTTGGTCCAGAAAGCAGACCTTCAGAAAAGAATAATAAAGAGTAATGCTTGGATTTCTAGGGTTCTGTCCTTATTTTCTTGTGAAGAAAAACCTGTCAGCCAAATGATGTGATGGTAAAAATTCTTCTGAGTACATTATATCTGTGACACTGAAGTTCTTGGAGGAGGAGTACCTGGAAGAGCCTTTGTTTGAATCCTTGAAGTGTTATTAGCATTCTGGCTTTGGAGTCCCCATTGTTACTGGCAGAAACAATCCTACATCTGTCTTTGGCCTTATATATGCAAAAGTATTCAGTGTGCATTTCTCTTTCAATTAGCAGAGCTAAAATGTTTTGTAGAAGTTTGAGAGTAAGGTCCTGCACATTGAACAGTTCTAGTTTGTTTTGGGTTTTCTAGTAAAAATGTCTTCTAAATTTTCAGTTATTCACTTGTTTGCCTTTACAGCAAGGGTTGTACCTCTTCTCGGCTGTGATCTGTTAATACATGATTAGTTCTCAGGCATTAGAACTAAATTACCATCTTTGTTCTTCATCACCCTAGTGATTTTACTTGTGTGGTTGTTTAGGTCAGGTCTGCTAAACTGAGGCTTTAAAACTTCTGTGGGGCTTCTTCCTGCTATCAAAAGAAGTAAGTTTGCACACTTATAAAAGTTTTAGGTTTTCTTATATACTAATAGCTAGCAACTGTGGGGTCAGTGACGATATTGAAGAAAAAGTATGAGTTGTTCTAATGTATTTAAAAGGCTTCTTTGTGTGTCACTTGAGAGCGGTGTGAGAATACTGCACTGTGTGTGGTGCGGGTTTGGTTTTTTTGTTACTATTTTTTTTAAATGAGACAAGGCTCAAGTATGACCCAGTTTCTTTCCCATGTTCTCTCACTTATTGTTTAAAGAAAACTTGGCAGTCCTTTTGCAGTTCCAAAGCTGATACCTTCTCAAGCCCATTCAGTTGTTATTGGCTGCAATAGGAGCAATGTTGAGGTTTCTGTGGATGTCAGAGGTGGGATAAGACCCTGTGTCACTAATGCTGTCTGGCACACTCTCTATGATCTGAGTAACCCATGTAGTTAGGAATGCATGCTATGCTGCCACCACTGTACATGAACAGAACAATGGCTTTGTTTCCCAAAATGTAGTAAAAGGTCTGTTGCAATTTGTATGGCTTTTAGACTGCTCAGTAAGAAATAAGAGTTGCTTGGGTTTTGAGAAGTATTAGGAGTTTTTGTTTGCCTGTTTAGGAATTTTGTAGGGACAGTATTACAGGCTTTATTAAAGTAGTGAGTAGAATACAAAATTTCTCTTTCAACTAGTGTCTTGTTTAGTAATTACTATGAATGGTGAAGGTCACCAGATATGCTTGAGACCTCACTTAAAAGAAATTCCATTCTTTACCTTTGGCTTTTAGGATATTCAATAATTGCTCTGTTTGTGTTGATAAATTCTTGCTTTAAGTATAGAAGTGCTTAACTTCTTTGTGTGAGATAGAAATAACAAATGACAAATCTATAAGTAATGGACTGAAAATTACAGTAATGCATTAGTTTTTGTGTTATTACTGGTAATTATGATAGTACTTTGAATGCTTTTAGCTATCTGAATTTCATGAAAAAAATCAGGAAAATAATTGCAATTTCCTCATTTATATAATGCTTGGCCTTTTGGGGCAGCAACTTTTTTTTTTTACTTTGTTGTGCAGTGTAGTCATATAAAAATGATGTATACTGTTTAGCAATAGCTAACAAACTAGAAGTAGTAAAATATATTAACTGTTAGAAAGAGCCAAAATATTATCAGTCAGGTTGGGAAACATGCAGTATTTTGTCTTCTTTTCTCTCAACATTTGAGGTTTGCCATAATAATAAAGAACTTTTTTCTGTAATGGAGGCCAGGTTTCTAAGTCATTGAAGTATGCTTGAAATTTGTCCCCCATCTATTACAAAAATGACTTGAAAACTGGAACTATTTGGTTCTGAGATTTTTTGCTAATTTGCTCTTAACCAGTCACTTTTCCCCACTTTTCCCCAGTATGACAATCCTCATTTTATATATTTCACAAGAAGATTACAGAACTCCATTCATACCTGTAAATGTGAAATTATTATTACACTGCTTTTCATCCAGCAAATGCACAGGAGGTCTAAATATGAATATAGATTTATTTGGGAGTTGCTCACACAAATTTAAATGGAGGTTAGAGTAAGAGGTTGAGCTACCCTGGTTACTGAAACTGCAGATCTGAGTGTGGAAGGATGGGTTTGTAGGTATGCTAGGTTGTTGTACCTATGAAGCCCTCACAAATCATCAGGAGAAGCTGTCTGCTGTTCTGCAGCTCTTAGTCCTGCTGGTTGTGTAGGGACAGTCTGTTTCACCTACAGAATGATGGACAGTTCCAGTGCAACAGAAGTAATTCAGGTCCAGTGAGTGCAATGTTTAGCAGGACAGAAAATGAGCCTTCTCTTCAGGAATTATTGAGAAAGTTGGCAAAACAGAAATGCTTAGACTTCCAGGGAGAATATATTCCCTGTACTCATGCTACTCCCAGACCCTCAATTGGTTTAATTTCACAGTGATGTGGAAGATTAGTAGATTATCTAAAGAAAATTTGCAAATGTGCAGGAAACCAGTTGGCAGTTTGGGGTGAAGTGGTCAGCCCATCTGTTTCTGATTTCTACACACATCAGGACACTTATATTAAGAGATTCCCTGCTGCTGTGGGGAACAAGGACATTGGCAATACCCTTGATATTGCTATGATACTTGTGCTGGGAGCATATTTATGTGGGTTTTAACTTTTTTACTATATTCTTTATGGTTTTTTAAATGGTGTTGGAATATTTTATGTGACTTGTCGATATGTGGAACTCAGGTGGGCTCAGATTTAATGTTCTGGCATAAATTTCTAGACTTTATAACTATGTCTTAGTTGCTTGAGACTGTGGCAGATCAGTTCAGTGTCCAGGCATACATTTCTGAAAAAAGGAAAGTAATTGACACTCTCAGAGCCTTGTAGGGTGCAAGAGCAAGAAATACTGATTAAGCTGTGCAGTTGATTTCTCCGTAAAACAATTGAAGTTCATCAGTTTTAAGTTCCTTAAG